ATAGAAGAAAGCTTATGAATAGCTAATAGGAATACACATATGAATATATATATATATATATAACATTAACGCATCGATGATAGTTAATTCACGCATGTCTCTTTCTCTGCTCTCATCAATGAACTGTAGGTACTCCATATTTAGCAGGTCGCCTATAAACAAATCTACTGTGTGTTCAACTTACATGACACTTCAAACTCACCACCCCAGAGTTTGTCAAAGTAGGCGACTGAACAAAACTTGAAGAGATTAAAATGTGTAAACATTTATTTAACACAAGTGACTTCTCATAATAAGGGTGAATAAACGGGAGCATTCATGCATTTGAACACGACTCGTGAGATCCTTCAAAGGGTGCATAAATTGCTGTAAACAATATAAGCATTTCCAGCCATAAACAGAATGCTCGAAATATTATTGTACAATATACATCTTTAAATGAGATGCATAAACGTATTCTATTCATCGTCAAGAAAATAGCCTACAATGTAAGACGATTAAGCGACATCAAATAATAATATAATTTGGAGTCAAGATAGCATTGCTGATACAAAATAACTGCCTCATTGTTAAATATTAGTAAAATAAGATAACTGCTGGATACACACTGCATGTAAAAAGCTCAAATGAATGTACACCTTTCAGAAAAGTGTTTTCATCAATATCTATCTAACCTGATTCGCACAAGACAGTATTTCACACACCACAAAAGAACATTCGATTTAACGAATAATCAGCTGGACAAACTAGGTACACATGATGAGATTCTATCGAGTAACTACTAATACATTTGCTCAATGTATTCACTTACTCAAATTAACTTTCTGTCTTATAGACAGAGAGAATGAGCAATTATGCGAATTGCGACCAATCAGCTATTTGAAAGTATTCGTATTCAGAAATTTCATGGCGAAATGGTTAATTTATCAACACATTTTTAACTTAAATGTATACGCGGAATATTAAGAGCACACAAATAGGGTGAATTCCGTTGGATTCACAATCTTCACTGTCCTTGTTTAGGAGAAGATTATTAAGGCATATTTAAATTTATTAAGAGGGAACTTACTAACGCCATAGCAACAGTGAAGCAGGCCCCAACGGATATCCACAGTGCTTTCTGGAAATATGAAAATAACATGCGGTAATTCGTTAAAATATATAAACCGAAGTATCAAATTTTCAGATCTCCAAAACTGAAATTACTAATGAACAAAATTTAATAGGTGAACATGGCTAGTAATTGCCCTAGTTACATATCTAAAATTGCTTTGCCATATCGTATTTTGCATAGTTAATGAGCTCAAGTAATAATTAGCAACGCAGCGCTGATGTGTATCAAATATTGTAATGAAACCAACGGCGTAGTTCATTGTAAGGTGTCTTGTAGGATACCATAAACGCTTACAATACTAAGCTTAAAAATATCTCGGTAATTCTTGTGACAACCGTCACGCAATGCAAAGGTTATTTCAGAACATCCATATGTCAACAGGAACAATAAAGGACAGAATTGCAATGCCATCATTTAGCAGATCATGCCCATTATTCTGACGATAACGCCTGAAAGCTGAGCATGCTTAACATTCGAATTACTTGACTTTCAGTGGCGAACCACTTTATATTTATTTAATGTCAGCAGAACAACCTCTCATACACAATGCTAACGTCATAAATCAATTAAAGAGTTTCAGAAGCGGTGATGCAATTCACTAATTTTCACCTCATGTTCAATGAAAATATCACAAATCCAGTCAAAATTTTCAGTTGTCTATGCGAATTTCATGTCACATTTGTTGAACCTTACCTGTTCTTTTTTTCCCAAATTGAATTCTATAATGAACAAAATAAGTCCAATCAAGACCGAAGCACACAAAAGTGAGAAAACTATAATAGTTACGCGAAATTCAACATTTCTCAGGTATAGAGCCAGGAAGATCACAAGTGCAGCCAAGGCGAACGCCGAGGCAATCGCTGCCAAAGCGGGCACCAAATCAATAGTATTCAACCTGGTGGTGAAACCCATCGAACATAGTACGAACTAAAATGAAAGAAAGTATTGTTTCGTTAGATTCTGATAATGAGGTACACATCAATAGGAGAGAGATTGGTTATTTGTCGGCGTCTTATTGTGAAATTTTATTATTTTATTTAAGTATAAGTCAAGAATCTTTTATTAACATCCTTGACTTCTCGTTGTTGTCACTAAGCAAGGTATGATCACTTGAATAAAACAGCAGAGATATCAACATTTCATTTACTACAGTCACCTGGTAGAACTTCTGTACTCTGAGATATATAAATGTACCTAGATATATACATAAAGAATTGGAATGCATACCTTAGCATAGAACAAATTCTTTAGCAATAAAAGTCATCACTCTGAAAATGTCTTGAAAAAAACTTATCGCAGGCTATCTTCCTGTTCGTCTGCTTTCCAAAATCGGGGAAATGGATTTTCATATTTCCCAGGTATTCAAATAAAGACGACGCTGAAACGTCGACATCAGTTTCGTGTGGCGCTATGCATTACAATGGTTATATTATTCTCATTTGTTTAGTTGTTCACCTTAAGTACACTGTAAAGTCATTGCACACACTTACAAGTTTAATAAGTACGAGTTTTGCATCCATGTACTTGTAAATCTATTCAAACAAATCTAAAGCATGTCTGACTCTGAACGGCAGACTCTTCACCGAAAAAATGTTGAAAATTTGATAGAAGGGTGCACGATACGCAGATGACGGTGGCAATAATGTTTTCGAAGTGCTCAAACAATGAATAATAAATGTTTCTGAAATGCTTTACCCTTATAAGAATTTGTTAGATTCACGTGGTTAAACGACACATGTCATCCAGAAATATAGACAGGCGTATTGTTGCTGAATTCCTCAAAAATGTGCAACTTACGTTTTCAAATCATATTGCATAATCCCCTAATTCACAGATACAGAGAAATAACAAATGCACAATGGTTTACCTGATTTCCTTGCATGTGTGACAGTTGTATTTGTTTCAGTCGTTGTGATGCTTGTATCACTTATCCTCTCGGACTTTCTGGAATATGTCTAGTCTTTAACTGTGTTTACTAATATACACAAAACATTGTCATGAGAACATAAGGGAGTGTATTTTTGTGTTAATTTATTGACTGAAAAAACCACTTTGTTTGTAATGCTTTGCATAGTTGAGTTAGTGAAGGTGAAACAGCGGGATTGAAATACTTACACTGAATGCAATGAAAAAATGATCAATTTCACGGCGATATCCAAGAAGTTTGAGTAGTCCAAGGACGAGAACTGGAAGTGCTCCGAGAAGTCTGAAAAGCAATAATTCATACCAGCTTAATTAACGTTGTGACTACAGTTTTTATTTAAAAAATCGAGCATAACGTTTTATCAGGAAGAGCATATATTTGATGTATGTCGCCCTGACATTCATTCACAAAGCAGCATGCTATGTTGAAAAAAATATTTTCTTCAGTGAATAAGTAGTGTGGTATTGTTGCAATACACAACATGTACCACGATAACCCACTTATTGACTGTATTTAGTATATTTCACGTCTGCTGCCAGTAATTGTTCATGCAGTCATTAGGCAGACAGCAACATAAAGCAAAATCAGGAAGGTGAATATTTAAGGGAATCTTATATTCAAAAAATTATAATATCAATTGATGGACCACGTTTGAAACTTGAAATATAAAAATAACTGTATGTCCACGTGCATTGGCTAGAAACATCACAAAATTGACTCACATAAGAAGAATAGTCAACCAACTGTGTGCTGTAACCCATTGACAAAGTCTTTCGCTATAGCAGGGAGGGAATTGTGTTGTAAAAATGGTAGTGAAATTTAGTCTTACATTTTGTTCACCATTACAATCATGGTGAGTGTCAATAAGAGCATCACTAATGTATCAATTAACATCTGTGTTGAGCAGTTTGAGAAGGATGCGTCAGTTTCTTACCCAGACGAAGAAGTGTAAGAGGCTACCCGGTCTCATGTTTAAACGTGAATTTTTCAATCGGTTGAGTTGCACAGTTTGGCTTGACATTTTGTGACCTATAGAATGGTGAAGAAAACACGATATTTCGCAAAATGAAAATTCAAAAACGCAACTGATTTCAGAATGATTTTCCGAGTTCGCAAAACAATCCGACGGTGATCTATGTGTCTCTGTAATCGAATTTCCATCACCTTGATTTGTTATCAGTGTTGGTTATGTGATTGGTGTGAGTACCTTATATTGTCAACTAGAGATTCTACTCCAAACAGCATATAAACAAAACAAGCACAATGACGGAGTGTCTGTGATGATGTCACCAACAGCCACCAAAGCTCCAATGCAGCGTGAACCAATCTCGTCCAGGATTATGACAGCAATATTGAACTCAATGTTAAGTAAGGTAACAATCATCCAGTGTTACGCACCTACAAACCGATTGGAATAATATGGGAAAGGCAATTTCCACAGACAAATGCAAGCAGTAATGGACAACATCCCAAACTACAACACTTAATTCTTAAGAAGCGATATGAATTTTATCTGAACTTGGAGCAGACACTGCTTGAATATAACTCTTCATGAATCGAGAGGCTCTCCAGGAATGTCGAGAAATGAATGACAGTGAAAAACTATTTACTGACCCATGTGCACTCAGTGATTGGGAATGAAAACACAAGGATATACGCAAAACAACATGGATTTCACTTGGCGAACAGAACAGAAACCACTTGTGCTCAAGAAAGTAGACTCACAGTCAACTGAACACAGATTTCAGAGGGCCGGAGGATATCTGCAACTACAGTCCTCGAGAGTAATCCGAGTGATGGGTGTCGAGTAAGGATTCCAGAGGGAAGCGGGGAAGACATTAAAGGGAGAAGACTAACGGTTGTTGACAGCCATTTGGTCATCTAAGGACGACAGCAGAAAATTTTTGAAGTCGGAGTTTTGATGTTGAAGCCCAATGTCCTACTTGGAATCCATGAGGGCAATACTATATAACATTACAAAAATTACCTTTTCAATTAGAGACTCATTTTTGAGATACGCTGGCTACTGAATTCTGTGGGATTCATTTACTGCTCAACGTGTGTTTCGAGTATTGCAGACAGCCATATTGAATTCGAAAAAATTTGCGTTAGGATTGCTGTGCAGAAGGATACTTTATTGGTTGTGACACCAACATAATTGTGTGTAAAAACAAGTAGCTGTTGTTGTCTTTGATCTGCTATCCTTTCAAGAATATGTTGAGCTCTAGATATGATAGCCACGCTTATCGAATGCTAAAAAGCAAGTGTTTGTGTAGTTGTAAGTGATGGCTTTGTTAAAACACAAAGTGTGTATCTATTTGACTAACTGAACTTCTGTTCTCTGACAAATGCTTAAATCAGACAAAGAAGGATGCAGGGGTTCGATAGCATTGATAATTGTGCACAGGTAATGTAACTATCATTCCAGATCACCATGGATTTTGGTGAATAAAACATCAAGGTACCACTAAGTTGTCTTATTTCGGTCACCAAGTATCCTGTTTCCTCAGATTTTTCAGTCCTAAGTCGTTTGTTTTCCATAAGAAGCTGTTGTTGTGTACAGGTTGCTCGATGAAAGAAATCCCCCCTATCACATGATAACATATACCTAGAATCTAGAACATTCATCACTGATGTTCAAGGACATGAAAAGTAGATAAAATGCACGGTGCATTCCACAAATTGTATATTGTAGGCAACATAAATCAAGTTCATGAAGACTTAAAACTGAAACTTATAACAAAACTGTCACACATAACTTACTTATCGTGCCTTCAATCTTCTTATTCTTAAAAATCAACAAGTCAGCGAACATTTATATAGTATTGTTTCGTTATTATTTTGTTTTCAATTTATTAGTTGAAATACTTGAACCTTGATCTTCACAAAGAAATAAACAAAAATTGTTCTATGTCCATGTTCGATACGAAAACATCAATGAAATTCAGTCTGGTTTGCATTTCATGAGGTATTTTTAACTAGTGGTTGTTTTACTGTTCAAAATATTGAGCTTACCTTTCTTAATGAATGGTGGAGATTTGATGGCGTTTTGCTTATTTCGACTATACGTTTATTCCTTGTCTGACTTCAACTGCTACCATTTTCCTTTGACCAATTCTGTAGATTAGAGTTTTAATCGATGAAACATAGTGAAGCAGTTTCTGCTTTTTATGTTTTTGAGATCCATCGTCATCACAAGGCCAAGTATGATCACTAAACTTATTGAATGTCCTCGCAAAGAAACATTTTTAAACGTTCATGTAAAGTCGGACGATTGGACACAAGTATTGTTGTTTGCTGAGCTGTCCTGGTGGGACATCAGTAATAAGGCATATGAAATATGCGTAATATTTAAGATATATAGAGAAAAAATGATTTACATGCAACTCACAGCATTCCCTGTGCGTTCGAAACACAAACTAATGTTGGGTCTGTATGTCTGTTAGAAATATAAACTCATAGCATTCATGAATTTATGGTTCTACAGAAATATTATTTTTGGATTACTAAATATGTCAGCGTGGACTTACAGACTGTTCCAAACAAATCAGTTACACAGTACTGAAGTTATAACTGCCGTTATGTGAGAAATTTAATTTTCCGTGTGTTAAAATAAAAAATTTTCACTCAATTTATGGACATGACATTTGTCAGATTAAAGGGAACTGACGATTTCATGTGCATACTGAAGTATTTTAACGAATTTCGGTGATTTGATTGCAATCTATTGTGATTTGGACAGTATGAGAATGATTCAAGTGGTTTTACAACTATGCAAAAGCGCGAAAAATTAAAAATTGGAATTCTACGGAAATTAGAAAGTCGTAGAGCTGAGAAGATCAGACATGCCATCAGCACTGTCCTCACCTTTTAGGATAAGCAGTGATTCAGCAAACGGAGATGACTGAATAACATGGACACTCCTAATGAACATAATTTTGCCTAGAACACAGAAAAGTAATATATTATTAAATTATGATTAAACATTACACAAATGTCAGAGACTGATTGAAGAGAATCATAGAAGTAAATCACAACTCAACTGTCTTTTTACGTTTTTGATTTCTAGTTGTTGATTTCAATATTTCTCCGAAATTAACTCACATTAGAGGAACGTCATAGATGTGAAGAACTGCAGAATATAATATCTTTTGCTGCAATTGAGTATCTCTCATCATTGCCTATTTTGAAATAAGGTTGATTTAGGAAAACCTGTAGAACAGTGAAAAAGGCGATAGATGGTAAAAGATTGAGAGAGGCTTCTCACTTTATTCTTGAAGTGATGCACTACGTCACTGATTTTATGTTTTGTTCATAATATGTAGTAAAAAATAAGAAAGAAGTCGTGGAATGGTTATTCGATCTTACGTTAAGCAGTTCACAGCAAACAGAAGAAACGATAACGAGGAATAACAACAGTAGTATCATAGTGAATAGGCAAGCAGACGCCGACTTTATGCGTTGGTGGCATTGCGGTTAGGACGCTCGCCGACCAGGCAAATGGTCTGGGGTTCGATCCGCGGCCGACGCACTCCTTTACCTCACTAAGCCAGAAATAATGCTGGTGAAGAGCAGAAGTTGGGCATGAGACTAGCAACCCCATCCTGTAAAATAAACACTGCTACAGAAACTTCAAGCCACTGGCTTGAATCGCTTTGTTCCACTGGGGAACGTGAATGAAAAAAAATAAATTAATCTTAGAACATGCAAACAAATCAAGGGGTAATAATTATAATTTAGACATAGTTAACAACCCAAACAAATATAATAACTGCAGTTATCCAGTATTGTCGGGAATGCAAGTCATCTTATGTTGTGAGTGAATAGTACGGACGTGGAAGTGCAAATTTATTTATTGCAACAAGAAGGTACAATAATGACTAGCCCATGTTTAAGAAATGTCACTTTATTGGTATGCTTGATGACTAATACTTGAAATTATTTACTGACTCATCACTCCGTGCAAAAATGAGAAAGCTGCGTGCTACTCTACATTAATAGGAGGATAACAGCAAACGTATAATTCAACTCCTTGCATCGAAGTGATTTCAAATTATTTACATTTTTAACTATACTTTGTTTGAAGTTATGTATTTGTTGTAACAGGAACTATTACATGGTAGCCAACAAGCGAATACTACCTTATTGCACTGTCTTATATTTCACATTCGCACATAAACAGCAACTTCAACAGTAACAACGCCGGCACGCTAAGGCAAAATAAAGGATTGGACATAAATAACGGAGCTTTTACCGTCTCAAACAACAGTCAAAATGCTGAACAGAAACTCTGTATATATGACATTTGAATTACCTTCAAAATGCGGGAATTCTTTGGTCCACTAAAAGTAATAGGAATCCAGCAATCCAAACATATGGAAAACAAAGGGATCACGCCACTGCGTGAGAGCCTCTGAGATGATTATTTTAAGGTTTTAGGCAAAATTAGGTTCAACTGGATTTATGTAAGAGTATGAGCTCCGAAAACGGTTAAACGTTTTAGGATACATTACTTTCAAAACAACGAAATTACGAACAACCACTATAGACAGATTACTGTGATTATTGTTTACTCTAGTTCACAGAGGAACAAAGGGTTTTAGTCACACGCCACCATTCCGTTCAGTTCTCTGCCCACGTTTACACCTGGCTTCACTTCTGCCCACATGCTTTCATCTTCTCTTCACTTTACCTTCTCCATGTCACCCTCTCACTAACGACCATCTCGCCGCTTTCCATTCGGGTTCCACATGAGCAATGATGTGGCGTTTCATGTCACTTGACGGTTTTCTCAGAGTATGGCCAGTCCACCTCCATTTCTTCCTACATAATTGTTGCACAATTGGTTCCTTCTGGGTTGGTTCGCTCATTCTCAGAGATCCCTGTGACTGATGTTTTTTGGTTGTTTGATGTTGAGTTGTACTGAATAAGGTCTGTAGTTTGTTCGAAGTGCCTTTCGGGACGTGGCGCCAAGTCCCTAATTCGCACAGTAAGTAGCAAAGAGTTCACACTGAAGTTGAAAATCCGGATCTCATTTTTCATTCTGAGTGCAGTTGACCTCCACACAGACTTGGTGACATTAATATAAGCTTGGCCTGCTTTCCCGATCTTTGCTCCGATATCCTTGTCAGTTCCATCTGCAGCTGAAACAATGCTTTCCAGGTAGGTAAAGGAGGTTGCATCTTTCAAGTTTCTTCCATTTACACTGATTGTTGTCTGTTGTTGTTGTTTTTACTGTTGCTGTTGGCAAAGAATCTTCATCAACTCTGTTTTCTCTATGTTCACCTGGAGACCTATCTTTGATGCGTCTTCTACCAAAATGTTGCTTTTCACTTACGTATCTTCTAGTTTGTAGCAAATCAGACATATATCATCAGGGGGATCTAGATCCTCCACTTATTATGCGTGGGCCTATTTTTTGCCTATTTCCTCGTTTTTCGCTTCCTGCCACTTTATCTTGTTTACCGCCATCAGGAAAATCATTGGAGATAGTCGGCAGCCAGCCAGCTAGCCCTATGTTTCCCCCGTCTTCACTTCAAAGGATTCCGTGCGTTCCCTGTTGTGAATTACTTGGCATGCAGCATTTTCGTACAAGTGCCGTTTGAGATGTATAATTGTTGGTGGTACCCCGTATTAGCGAAGCAGCTGACAAGTCACTTCCAGATCGACGCTGTCTGTTGAATGCCTTTTCAATGTCAATGAAGGAGTTTCTTCAATAATAATGTAAACGCATCATTTATATTTGATTCAGAGACTAATCACATCACCGGAAGCATTTCCAGCTGGCTACAAAAACTCTGCATCAGCCGCATTTGCTTCCTTGACAATGAAGCGCATATAGCAAACCAGTCAGTATGGTCTACAAAGAAACCTGGCAACTAATCAACTAAAAGTATGATGGAAGGAGACAGGCAGAGCATAAGCAAAGTTTTTTCTATTACAGCTTGATTCCACACCGTATTTTCGGTACAAGTATGGAATTTTCAGCATGTAATATCGGTAGCCCAAATTTTGCAGGCCGACCAAAGATATCAGGTGTGCGTCGGCAGGGGATTGAACCTTGGACTGTGCGCGAGAGTCCTAATCACTGTGTCACCGACGCACAGTTGATTGACATCATACGCCAAGTATCCTAGTGCGACTTGTAAGAGAAACGACGAATTGAGCAGTGATTGGAAGACAACACTGAGGACATTACAGGGAATGGCGAAACCTTACGCGCAATCACATAGCCAGCTAAAGAAGACTCTAGAGGAGAGGGTCAAATGAAAATTTACTACTGAAGACGAATGTCCCAGTCGGAACCAAAATAATCTTGATAACATTATAAGCACCACGTGAACACCTTAAGGTATTCATAACAGAAATAAGCAACGACTTATTTAATTCCGAAGGTAAAGTGTGTGCTGTTTACCTCAGCATTACATCTTATGTAGTTTAATAAACATGTATGCTAACCAGTTATAGGTATTCCAAAGGAAGACATCACAGGCTGTGTCTTTTTGAACAGAATGATAAACGAATTAACTTGCGGTTGCATAAAACCAATGTATCCGTTTTTCAAGAATATATCATTGTGAATCTATCACATTAAACACCCTAATAATTGTGTACTCATATATTATGTCTAAATATTTTAGGTTTTATTATTATCTATCGGATTACCTGCCATTACAGCTGTCCTGAAACTATGGAATATTTTATCATGGACTCTGACGATAGCTGTTTCTATGGCTGCACCCATATTGGGATACGAATAGAGAAAATGAGTTAGAAGTCGAGC